TTTTTTTGTAAAAATTGTACAACTGATTAAAATCAGTCTGTTCTTCAACCAGCACCATGAAGCCGTTTTATATCAATAAAAATCATCAGTGCAACAAGAGGAGGCAAAATGCTAATTCCAACTCTGTATGTCACGACGCAGTAGTCAGCTGAAAAATTGAGTCTGTCCCAAGAGTGGATCAACACAGCTGTCAGCAGATAAAACTTTGACTTTGGTTTAGCTAGTGTACGCGGTTTGCTCTAATCCCCAAATGTCAGGAACTTTTACCAGGCACATATGATAAGCCCAGACTCCTTGTCACTAGACCTCTCTCAAAGGACTTTACTAAGAAAAACCTTGTGCTGTAGCCAAGTGTTACATTCTCTAAAAGGATGCAACATTCACACTGAACAAATGGGTTGAGTGTCCAGTCAAGTAATTATTGGAAAGATATGAATCAAGTACAAAGTTATTTGTGAGTGTGTTGTGGGAAAAATAGCAAAAATCGTGTTGTGGGGATGTTACGCCCCGTCTAGGGTAAAGGACGCAACATGAAAAGAGAGATTGGAAGCAAGGGACCTTTTTGGGAGTTTTAATGGTATAAACAAAAGGAAAATCCAGTATGCAAATATAGGGAAATTCCTTCAGGAGCAGACTCGGACAAAATAACAAACAAAACTTTTTTTTAATAGCCACTTTCCTAAACCTGTAACATTGGAGGCATGACAACAGAGTTGAAGATCCAATCGCAAGGCTTTATTAAGGAGCGTGGTGAATATACCAAGTCGATACCACCAAACAGTAATATCCAAGGGTTGACAGAAGAATAATCCAATACACAGGCAATGGTCAGGGCAAGCAGCAAACAATCAAAAAACAGGAAAACAGTAGTGATGTAATGTTCTGTGCCGAGGCTTCGGAGCATGTGTCGAGAAATCCTGGCAGCTTTCAGTGAAGCGCGTATCGAGGCTTGTATCGCTTTAGAGCAATGACGTCATTGATGACGTCTGAAGCCTCGCTTGGCCAGACTGATCTGATGGCTCAGAGAGGCCTCCATTGACAGCAACGCCACCCAAACTCTCAAGATCCATAAAGGTACTAAAGACGTCGTTAAAACAGTCGACGTGACTACAGTGGTTCTACAATAATTTTATGAAGCGATGAGAATACATTTTGTGTGCAAAAACAAAACAAAAATAACTACTTTATTCAACAACCTCTTCTCTTCTGTGTCATTCTCATATGTTGTTTACGTCCAGCGCTTCCGTGTTCTACGTCCGAACGCCGGCTCATTATTGGACGGCTCCTGCATCAGCGTCATAGCTACGCTGTGTTAAAGAGTAGTGATGTTACGTTCTGTGCCGAGGCTTCGGAGCGTGTGTCGAGAAATCCCGGCAGCTTTCAGTGAAGCGCGTATCGAGGCTTGTATCGCTTTAGAGCAATGACGTCATTGATGACGTCTGAAGCCTCGCTTGGCCAGACTGGTTCAGGAAGCGGTTCGAATCTTGTAAATTCACGGTCCTCTGTCCTGTTAAACTCAGCCACTTTCCAGTTTTAGACTAATAATATTGGACCCCCTGCCTATTATGAGCAAAGACTTGATTTACACACATTTGATAGCCCCATTCATTTCAAGCCAATACGTTTATTACACAGTTATGTTATATTATGTTATACAATAATTATATACCACTAGAAAATGCACATTATATTCATATAAACAGATTAGTCTATGTGGAAATTTATTTATTTTTCTTCACCGTTATTTCTAAGCCTTAACTGGCGCAAAATACAGTGTATCACAGATCAGATCAGATCAGGTCACCTGTAATAGAGCCCTGCGCTCGACCCAGCACAACACAGAAATTATCTAAACATAGAATGTCTAAAACATATAAATTGTTATTTATCTGTTGCACAAAAGCAAAAAGAACAACT